CATCTACCTCTTACAACCAAAACCCGTCTATCCCCTTATCGAGTAACATCGTCGTACGTCGAGGAAACCATTTGTCACTGTTGATTTTTCCATTTTCTAGCCAATCCAATCGGCATTGTAGCACATCGCCACACCCATCAGCTTCATCGGCGACTTGCGAACAAAACCCAAATAATCAACGCCCTCCATCGTTGCGTTGTCGTCATCCACCGTTTGGGGGAAGTTTTGAACGTTTTTCGGTTGATTTATCGTGGATTTAGTTGATTAATGACCTGTTGTGGGTTTATTGTGTTGAAACTATGCTTCGGGGATAGTCGGGCCACCTCCACCGAAGTTTTGCTAGCCGCATGCACCGTCGATGCGCGTGGGGCTTCTCGGTTGACCTATAAAACCTTTTAGAATGGTCTGATCGGTCTGAAGCGGTCTGAACTGGTTTAAACCGATCTAATTCAACTTGGATTGAACTGAGTAAACCCGAACTGGCATGAGTTAACCCAAATCGGCTTGACACGTTGACTTTGACTCATACATGTTGACTTTGACCTGATCGTTGACCTGCCTTTTGACCAAAAAGTTAATTTTTTAAAAAAGTAATATTTTACGTTTTTCGACGTCCTGAAGCTTAATCCGAAGTTAGTTTTTCCAAATTCAAACCCGAAATCCTTCGAATTAACATGTTAAACTCAAATGTGTATATGTAATTTAAGCAATTTAATTAAGTTCATAATGTCAATAATTGCTTACTTTATGTTGTTGTTAATTAAGGTACTCGTTGATCTCCTGAACGTTTGTCTGCTCGACCCGATTCTTCCAGATCCGTCCGTCCGCACGATCCTGTGATTACTCGTATAGTTCTGTAACCTAGTTAGATATTTAGTTTAGTGTACTACTCCGATAATAACCTTGTTCTTATATGACTTATGTTCTCGTACAATCGAAGAGTGTGGTGAAGCTGGTGCTCGATAGATCTACCAGACTGTTTCGTTTTGTGATGTGTGTTCCTTGTGTGTCATATATATGTTTTAAATATTTGTTTGAAATACCATGTGCACATGATTATTTTCTCTGATTTGAAATCAATTGTTTTCTCTTATTTGACTATCGTATGATTTATTTGATTTAAGTATGATTCCTGACTTACTGTATTTTAAATCATGTTTACTTAACACATGTTCTCTGGTTACTATTTTTACTAATAAATAAAAATATGTCTGAAATCTGATTTCAGGTTACCACTGGTTACTGTCTCAAAAATGTTTTTATCTAAGGTACTTTGGGATCTGGTATGAAGTCTCTGCAGGTTCAGCTTCGATTAAGCTGGTAATTTCTTATATAGGTTCAGCACCGATCAAGCTGATAATTTCTTATAGACCTAAGACGACCCTTGGATGGGCTCATGGCCCCAATAGGCCTAATAGTAAGACCTTATGGACCCTAAGGTACTTCTTTATGGTGGTTTCTCTGCTATGTGCATTGGCTAAGTCCTTATGTGTAACATCCTAAAAGTCAAGTTAGTGACCAAAATAGAATTTTTGGAACTTTGATGTATAATTTTGAAAGATTGAAAAGTTCAGGGATTTAATTGGAGAATTTTTATGTTGGATTTAATAGTAAAGTTTAAAAGTAATAAGATTAAAATGGTCATTTGACAAGAAAGATTTTTTTATCTTTCTTTTGTAGGTTATATATATCACGTGGGGCTTAAAAGGAAAAGAAAATAGTTCTCCAGAAACTCTATTCTTCTTCAGCCGTGGAACTTCAAGCAAAGGTAAGATTTCTTGTTAGTTGCTTTTTAGCTAAATTTAAGATTGAGTTATGATCATTAGATAATAATTAAGCTTAAGGAAAGCTTAAGTTATCTTAAAATCAAAGGATGAATGAGTTAGGAGAGATTAAAGATTTGGAATTTTTGAACGAAAACTTGGAATAGAGTTGATAAGTAGAATTAGAAGTTAAATTTGACTTGTCAATGGTTGAATTAAGAGATATGAAGTGTTAGAATTGGATTTAGAACATGTTGAAAATTGAGTTTAATTCTTAAATTCCATGAGGTGGATAGGATTTTGGGGTTTAAGATGTGATAAATGGGTATTAATGAGTTTAAGCATGTGTTTGTGAGTTAAGAATATGATAGGGGATGAAACATGAAGTGTTTAAGTAGATTTAGAGTGATTTTCGGGCTTAAAAGTGAATTATGGGTAAGGGGGTATCTGTACCCATTCATCAGGTACCGATACCTCAAGAGTAAATTTCAGGAATATATTCAAAGGGTATTGATACCTTAAGGATGGTATCGATACCCCCTTGAAATGAAAAATTATCGAATGTAATTTGGGTATCGATACCTAGGCAGTGTATCGATACCTCAGTTAAGGGATGTATCGATGCCTTATAGGGGTACCGATACCTACTTTAAATAAAAAATGAATTTCGCATTTCTTTTAGTTTAAGAAATGAAGGATTAAAGTATGTTATTTATAATACTGATATATATAAATGTATGATTATGTAGACATCGAGCGTAAGCAAGTTCCGGAACGACTGAAAGATTGGAATTGATCAAGAAGATAAAGTAAGTCATAGGAGTAATTGATAGCAAGCGAGGCACATGTGAGTGCATATTAAATAGTATATGATATTTAATAGAAATAAGACTTGTGACAAGTCTATTTCCTATAGTATTATGCATGAATTCATGAGCATGAACATGTGTTTGTTAGGAGTATATGAATTATACGTTATTGCATGTGTGACACGATTGCTATGAATACATGACTAGGGTGATAAGACATATGAACGGGTATAAGTGATATATATGTTTATATAAGTTATATGATATTGACATAATGAATTATATGAATATATGATAGGTATTATATGATAATGATCTATTAAACAATACAAGAATATTAATTGAGCTACTTAATAATAAGTCATAAGGTCACATGCATAGGTAATATAAGTTATAAGATGATAATATAGAAGAACATAAAATAAGCCAGATGATATGTGAATATGAAAACTTGACATGAGTTACCCGATAATAAGTTATGTGATTAAATGAGAAATGATATGAATACCTGCATAGTTGATGATTTGATTGCATATATGAAATAAGTGATGTGCTTACATGATCATAAGATATAAGATAGGACATGAGATATATGAAGAGAAAATATAGGTGATACGTGAAAGTGAATCATATGTCTATATGAATATGAGAAATGATATGAAAGAGAATGCCCATGTTATATGAAATGAGAGTTAGAGGTATAGTTGGCATGCCAAGAGTCGAGGGTTACCTATGTCTTTCGAGACATATGGACAATTTACCTATGTCATTCGGGACATATGGACAGGATTACCTATGTCATTCGGGACATATGGACAGGATTACCTATGTCCTTCGGGATATATGTACATGTTACCTATGTTCTTCGAAACATATGGATAGGTCCTTCGGGATACATATTTCATATGCCACTTAGTGGATTTTATACTAGCTGTGGTGACAGCATATGTGTGCACAACCTCATAGTACTTGCATACCTTGAGTTCTCAATCATGTATATGGCTAATAAAGAGATAACTCTGAATACAAATATATGTAATATATATATACATGATGTGTGATGTGAATTGAATAAAATGATATATGTGTGTGTTATGGGTTATTGAATATGTTATAAGAATGAGTTGTAAGATATATGATATGAACAGAAGAGATTATACGAACCAGAGATAAGAAATATGAATGATAATAATGTATGAGTATGATAGAAACATAAATGATGACATGTGTGTGTGTGTGTGTGTGTGTGTGTGTGCGCGCGCGCGTGCGTGTGCGTGCGTGTGCGTGCGTGCGTGCGTGCGTGCGTGCGTGTGTGTGTAAGGTCAGTCACTCCTTTACGAAGTTCAGATCAAAAAATAAATGGATATAATTATATACTTTGTTATATTAAATATAGTTTACATGTACTATAGAATTGTATTGCGTAAAACCAAACGTTTTAAATTATGTAAAATAACAATTTTTTTTTAATGAAAGTTAAGATTTTCATGATTTTTATAAGAGAAAAGTTTTGAAAAGTCAATGTGAAACCTCGGATTTGGATCCGGGTCTGATGCGGGTTGGAGGTGTTACATTATGGACCTGATGGCACACCCCTCAGGTGGACACCTACGCTTCAGCTAGGGTAAGATCTTATGGACCCAAGGTGTTCCTTTATGTTGGCACCTAAACCCTTTGGGCTTAGGGTAAATCCTTATGTATGTAGTTCTTAAAAACTGCATATAGTGTACCGTTGAAGGGTGATTCTGTATTTTCAAACTAAAAATTCTACCGATATTTTATTACTTTAATAATAAACTGATTTTGGAAACTTAAGTATATATTTTATTTCTATACTATTGAAACACTGAGCACTGTGGTTCATTCCCTTAAACTTTTTCCCTTCATATATTATTTGATAAGCAACTCTAACACGATACTTGAAGAATCGACATATTTGTACAATATAATTTTGTTATAATATTTTAATATTTCAAGGTGATATGCCTATTATTTTGATATAATGATTTATGATTTTTTTTTATTTCACCTTTGATTGCTATATTAGTACTACTAATTAAAGATATTTTATTTAATATTTCAAATTTTCTACCCCTTGATTTATGTTTTACCATTATAATTATGTTTTAAAAAATTATAATGTATTAAAGAATATATGATTTTTAAAGTGGTAATTACCATTATAATTATGTTTTAAAAAATTATAATGTTTTAAAAAATATGGATTTTAAAATGGTAATTATTTTGAAAATTTTTATTATAATTCACTATCTAACCTGGGTCCAAGGTTACAATCTCATTTTCGTTCATTTCGTTTAATAATCCACACACGACCGCTTGAAAAAGGATTTCAAGCTCACAATTCACGATGATGACCGATCATTCTAAAATAAAAACTTAGACATAATAATGGTATTACATTCAACTCTGCCACGGAAATTACACTTGCATCATATCAAGATACATATCTAGTAATTAACACACGAATTGAACGACGCCATGCCCTCACGAGCAATTTATTTGAAATAGAAAACATAAAACCATAAAAATGCTCCAGATATCGTGCTCTCACAAATATAATGCATGCGTGAGGAGCAATTTATTTAACAAAAAAACAACACAACGCATAATAAAGAGAACTAATCTTCCTCCTCTTCTTCATCTTTCCAGCAGCATTTCAAGGTTGATCTTGGGGATCCACAACTCCCAACGCTGAACTTCTGGTACATAATGGATCCTCCAGTACCAAGCCCTTCAATATTCATTTCACCACAGCAGTATCCTTTTACATCCGACAAACAGATTTGCTCAAGTGACTGACCCACAACATCAACATGCACAGCAATAGAGAAATCATTCGGCTTGAAACATGCCAACACCCGTTCAACAAGCTGCTTCAGATCTACTACTTTCATGTCATATCCCACAGCTTCAAAACTTGAATAACTAAAACCATCTTCTGGAGTAACATGAATAGTAGAGATTGCAGAACCTTCAATTGCATTCATGGAATAACCACATGGGTCAAATTCAAAATCACAAATGTTAGAATTCGGAAGGATCTTCCTTATGCCAGAATCAACAGTCATCATGGCAGCAGAAGATGTTTGATCTTTGTAGAAAACAGCAGCTCTTTGACTGTCTAAACCAGTCAGGCACATCTCCAAAGTATAAACTGGATCATTGGTGGGAACTGATTCTGCAGTTGCAGAGTAAACATGCCATTTTTTATTGTCCAGTCCACCAATTACACAAGCTTTGCTACCTCCTCCAAGCTTACCAAAGTATTCATCAAGAATAGCAACTTCTTCAGAAAAACTTCTGTGAGGATATGATTGAGCACCAGGGAATATGAAACTTCCACGGGTGTACCGAACAGATTTTACATAAAGAGAAAGACTGCCCGCAAGTTTCAAGATAGGAGAGATAGCAAGAAGCAGCTTTGTAGTCCCACACGTTTTTATAATGACCTTGTATGGATAGACAAAGAGACTGGACTCAGAAAGGACATAGGAGTCCAAAAAGTTGTTTGACAATGAAGAAACAATAGTGCACTCAGCCGGGCCTAGAAACTCATCCAACTGATCTTTAGACAATGCCCGAAGACCCTTCCCTTCGGGGTCAGCAAAGATGCCGGGCTCAAAAAAAACAATTTCAAGCCTCTTTTCGTAACCCTCAAATCCAATTGCAGATACAGCCATTGTGATGTCAACAAAAGCCACCGAGCTTTATAAGGAAAGCAAATTATGCAGTCGTCAGATGAGAAGAGAAATGTAAAGAAATCGATTGCCAAGAGAGAGAGGAGGAGGAGGAAGTCTAGAGGAAATAATCTAAAACTAAGCTAATAAAGCAAATAAAACCACTATTAGTGGTCAGACAAAACACTTGTGAATATATCAGGATGGTTTGCGAGCGCACTGCAAAACAAGAAAGAATAAGTATTAGTATCGATACAAATGAAAGGGCAATAGCCATCACGATCTGCAATATTCAAAGGAAGGCCACAACTTACGTTAGAGTAAGCTGCAGATCTGAATTTCTTGATTCCACCGTTTGGTCGTACGTCTTCAATGCTGTAACCGAGAGGAGCTTCGTAGAAAAAAGTTTTACTACTACTACTAGACTTCTTTTTCCCACCTTTAGACTCCATTAGAACATTCAATTTCACCTGCATAATCATTAAAACCATCAACATTAGACACATGATACAACAAATAAATCTCCACAAAGGATACATTAAATAAAAAAACTTTCAAATATATAATTTATGTTATCAAAGTTGCCTAAACTCGGATCAAACGGAAAATGTCCAGCTAAAAAGAAACAACAAAGCAACATCTAAAAGTCCTCCATATTTATCAACAATAAGATTTAAGAAGCATAAATACAAATTATAAACATACTGAAATTTTCAATTTTATAACATCTTAAATACAATATCAAAAACAACATCAAAAGCAGGGATTAAACGCATCCTCCAAGAATACATATTTTATCTCCAAGAAAAAATAATAAACCTTCAATCCAAGTTACATGCAAAATCATATAAAAATAACAATAATAATCATAAAATCGAATCATAAATTACAAAAGAAAAAAAAGAACAGGTACATACGATTCAAATTTTTAAAAATCCTCAATCAATCAATGGAAAGAAATCGTCTATCAAACTCCGTTCAGATCCTACAAGAAAACACCAAACAAATTTCAGAACATAAATTAGAATAGACGATCATTCAGATCTGAAAAATATCGAGATCAAAACAAAGAGGAAAAAGTACTTACAGAATATTATAAAAAAATTTGACGAATACAAAATGAAAAGCCTCTTCAGATAAGAAAACAATTATGATAATCTGTGCTGGGAAAATATGAACGTAGAATTAGTATCTGTGAGCGGCGCTGGCAATTTCTTCGTATGAATTTGGCAGGGATAGGGGGCAATTTATAGAAGGGAGGTAGGGCTTTTTCTCAAGAAAAAGAGACACAGCTGCTCGTTGTCGAAGTTACGGATTTGCCCCTGGTTTGTTTCGAGGAACGTTCCAGTAAATTTGTTTAGTTTTGTATTTTACTAATCTACCCCTATCTAATGGCATTAGTAACAGCTGGATTCATGGACTTGAGCGTTAGAAACGTATTTTCCACGGCTACTGGATTCATGGATCTTGTAGGGTTTTTTTTTATTTCACTTTAATTCTTATAATTATAAAAATATTGGAATATTCTTTAAAGATATATTCCATAATTTAAAGAAAAATAAATATTCTTTTGAAATATTGGCCAAGCATAACCTTTCTATTGCCTTTAAACAAAAGCAATATGTTGTAAAAATAATTAAAATACATATTTCTCGAAATAAATATTTTATTTTTTTCTATTAAAGAAAATAAAAATAGGCTGCTATCCACATTCGTCAAACAAGGCAAGCAAATTTACAAGTGGCATGCCCCACGCTATAAATGGAATAAAGATGGAAGGATACTTCGGACATTTCAAACTGCCCATTGAAACCTCCAAATTTACTATTTTTTAAACGATAACGTACACAAATAATACATCGACTATAAGATGTTGCTTTGTTGAATTATTAAATTGTTTTTTTAGTTCTTTAACTATTAAAATTATAAAATTGTTATTTAACTAGTCATATGTTTCAAACTCATAATTTTCTGTTAAAAAAATTAAAGATAACCTGAAATAGACGTAAACATCCTGACTAAGATATATTAAAATTTGATCGTAAAATCTAAAACGATTATTATATCTCAGTCAGTATATTAACGTTCAGCTTAGACAATCATCATTTTTACGAAAAAAATGATGAATTCATAACATATAAAAATAATAAGATGACTATTTTTTAACCTTTAATAATTAAAAGATTTAACAAAATAATATCATATATTTAAAAAATCATTTATAATTTTTAATAATCTAAAAACTAACAAAATAAGCTGAACTCCATTTGTATACTTTATCACTGTCTTTATTAATGTTTAGTTACTACTTAATCTTCGAAGGACTGAATTCGGAACTTTTAACTTTACACGGCTACTTTATTTTGGTCTAATTGGACGTGTCCCGTTTGGTTTTATATTTTTTTCTGGATAATTTTAACGGTGCATCATTTTTCCTTTTTAATTAAATAAATAAATTATTTATAAAAAAAAGCAAATTAAAAGATAATAAAAAGTACATTTTAATCAACATGCATAGTGAAAGAAGAAGAAATCTGATCAAATAGATTAAATTAATATAAAGTAATCGTGGATAGATTCGGTCCCCAAAAGTTTTGTGGTGAGTGCTATAAAAGGCATTGTGTGGGGGACTCTGACTTTACATTAATTTGAATTGATGACGAGGATGAGATTCTCCTTGCCCCAATCCTCTGACACGTACGTGACTCTGGACCTCTATTTTCTACATCGTTTGCTTTTTTTTTATAGAATTAATACTAAGTATTTTATTTAAAAATTACTTGATATATAAATTATTTATTTTATTTTTAATAATTTAAAATAATTATACGATAATATGGGTTTAAAATATTTTTTAATCATTGATAATACATATACACTTTATAAACGTAATTGTTCGAATTTAAGAAACGATAGCAACACTTAAAATATTAATCTAACTAAAACACATAACATTCAAATAAATAAAACAGTATAGTCTAAATTTTACGTAATGTTTATTTAAAACAAATCATTTTATTTTGAGAATATCATTTCAGTGTTTATGTTTTTAAAACATTTAATGTGATATTTAAATTTTAATAAAATATTTAATATTAAATTATATAAAAAAAATATAAACTTTAAAAAGTTACCAATTTTTTAAATTCAATTACGAAATAATCACCGCACCATTTATTGTTGCTAACCGCCATCAAAAGTTTCGGAACATATTAATATGAAGAAAAAAATATTTTTTAAATTAAAAAATTTCTTAAAATATATATACACTGCATTAAATAAATATTTAATGCATCTAGCTAACCATCGCATGCCATAATTGCCATTAACACCATCAATCACGAAGTGACGCGGCATATATATTTAATTGTAGTTTGACACGAAAACTTATCATTGCATATATTAATAAAAAAAATTGTCCTTTTCATTTATACAATAAATATTTGATATGAGAAATATTTTTATAAATTCACATATCTAAAATAACAATGAAAGTTCGACAAAAACGCTAGAATAATGTTCTGAAAAGAAAAAAAAAGATAACTCCTTTCACAAATTATTTATTAAGACACGCTAGAATATTTTTATAGTGCGCCTTCCATTTTCTTGGAGAGGAATATAAATTACATCACGTCTTCTCCATGCATCTTACATTATTTTTCTTCTATCTCGTGAATGCATATTTTTTTAAGAGAGTTCACCAAAATATGTATTTTTAACTCAGAAAATAAACTTAACGTGACATTTTGATCAATAATTTTTTATCATGAATTATTATGATATTGAAATGATAATTTATGATATTAATGTAATAATTCATGATATTTATATGAAATTTATGGTAGCTGATTATATGAAGAATGACGTGATAAATAGATTAATTAATTTTTTTTATCTTATTCGACATTCAAATTAGTTTTTTTAAATTAAGACTTTATTTAATTTTTATTTTTTTTTATTTTTTACTTTTGAATATAAAATACACAAATATTTAAAAAATTAAATATATATTTTAATTTATTTTCTTGACAAATGGCAACATCGTTTCATGCCACTTGTCAAGCCTTTTTTTAAAACTCATTATTATTGTTTATTTTGACAACTGACACGTTAAGCTGTGCCATGTGGAATTGTGATCAGAGAGATGTGTCGTTAAAGGTAAGTGTTAGATTTTAATATGAAATATTAAGCATGTAATTGGGTTTTAAAAGTATAAAGATCATATTAGAAGATTTGCCATACTTCAAAGGGAATTTCACGCTATTATCCCTTTAACACTAAAAGACAAAATAGGAGTTTAAAAGAGCTCTCTGTTCTCCACGGCCACTCAAAGTCACATGTTGCCAAGCTTTGTCTGCTTTCGTCAACTTGCAATTGCAGCCGCTCAGCACAATCCAGGGCTTTTTTTTTATATATATAATTTAATTTCATTACCTAAGAAGCAGAAAATCCTGCTACAAAATACAGAAGCAATAAACATCACAAAAAATAAAGTAAGAAAAACCACAAAGGGGAACCAAAAGAAAACCAGGAGGGGTCGTTATGGGTTGCTTGGATCAAAACATACGTGTTAAAGGAGAAAAACTTCTGGCACATTGAAGGGGGTCCTAATTACAGCTGGAGTTTCAACAGAATCTTTAAACTTCGATCGGAAGCTTTACCAATAATCACGAATAGAACCATCACCATAAGAGATATTTGGCAGGAAATTAGGATGAATGCGAATAAAGTTTCATGGCATACCTTGATCTGGTTCCCACTTCATATTCCTATACTCAACATAATTGCATGGATGGCAATTCTAGATCGACTTCCAACTCGTGATCAACTTCAATGAATGGGGATTATCACTATTGGGGATTGTGTCTTTTGTAATGCTGCACTGGAAACTCGATCTTATTTGTTCTTTGAATGTCCCACGACTTCTAATTTATGGGAGATCATTTTACAACACAATGGGTTAAAGAAATCCATTTCTTCTTGGGAGGACATGATTGTTTGGGCATGCAATTCTTGGAAAGACAAGTCTCTTATTTCCACTATTTTAAAACTTGCTTGGTGTGCTAAAATCTACGTTTTGTGGGAGGAGCGTAATCGAAGAATCTTTCAAGGAATATCAAGATCTACTGATGATCTTTTTATTTGCATCAAAGAATTTGTAGGTATTAAACTGAGGGGGAAAAAGATCAACATGTTTGATAGTGTTAATACTTTCCTATGTAATTATTGGGCAATACCAGAAGAGGCGTTCGCATAAGGCGTGGGCACGGCTTATTCATCCAGAGCTAACGCAGAAGAAGTCTTCAGTTAAGGCTTGGGCACGGCTTATTCATCCAGAGCTAACGCAGAAGAAGTCTTCAGTTAAGGCGTGGGCACGGCTTATCCATCCCGAGCTACTGCAAAAGAATCTATACTTAAGGCGTGGGAACTTATTCACCCACATCTTTCGCAGAAGAAATATTCAGTTATGGCGTGGGGACGCCATCTATCAGCTCAGTTTGAGTTTTTATCGGATCCAGTTTTTCGGTATTCATTTTTTGGACTGGTTTTCGGTATATTATTGGATCAGATTATAGCTATACACTTTTATTTGATTTGTAGCAGAATCTCTGCTTCTTTGGGTAATAAAATTCAATTTATCCAAAAAAAAAACCAGACAATTAGGCTAGAACATCAAGAAAGGCACTATTCAAGCAATGCCCCAATTGGCACACATCGCATTATTGACCAAGTCTAACCGGTTAAAAACTTTGCCCACCAGTCGGATGCGTATAGTCTCTTTGATGTCGCCTAGAAGCTCATCATTTGATTTTGCCCTATTCCCAAACAATCTGCCATTCCTTTCATTCCAAATACCATAAATGTGTCCAGACCAGGCAAGCTTAAGGATACCCACAATGAGGGACTTACCCTTGAATAATAAGGAAGCCCAAGCCAGTTCTCTCTCCCAGCTACAACCTTCACGAGAAATGCAACAAAGGTTGAGAATGGAACCCCAAAGCTCTTTAGCAAATTGGCACTCAAAGAATAAATGATCCCTTGTCTCTGCCTCTGCACCACACAGCAAGCATTTATCCGTTTCTATGTCCAGGCCCATACGCAGAAGCCTTACCCGAGTAGGGAGCCTATTAAGTAAGGCCATCCAGACGATGATACTATGCTTAGGGATACGACTCGAGAACCAGACCAAGTGGTGCCAGGGAACCTTAGGAGCTGGGGAATGAAGCTTATCCCAGAT